GGCTCAGAGACTTGATAGAACTTTAAAAAGAGATTACAATCTTGTCATCTTCAGTATTCATATTCTTTTTACCACCTGCTGAATAAAAACCCAATTTTTAAAGTTTCAAAAAATAATAGATTCTATAAAGAAATTAAGAACAGTATACCTTTAAAGGGATTGGAAAAAATTAAATAAAGATGTGTGGCCTTTTCGTTGTTTCTTGGAAGTGTGTTGATACTGTAATTAGAAATATTTAATATGATACTGATTTATAAATCACAGAATTTAATTAGCAATAAGCAATAAGAAACAGACGTGTATATATGTGTATACATACACACGCACACACACACACACACACATATATAATCTCCAGCATGTGATATATGCATGTGTGCAGTGGAATTGATCCCTGAGCAATGTAATATGAATACTTACTGTGTTTAAAATACATGTCTATAAACTGCCTTTGTATTTTGGCTTGACTTTGCCCTTTGCCAGGTTTCTGTGGTATGCTTTATTTTCTGTGAGCACGTTATGTGCCTGTTATTTTGTTTCTTTGCTATATGCTGTGTATTGCTTGGTTTTGAAAAGACATTACATTCTTTGAAATTCGTGATGTTTGTTTGCTTTTCATTTTTCTACCCCAACACAAACACAGAGTAGATACTCCATTTTAGGCTGAGGATGCTATAGATGGCCTACACGTTATTTCCTTAACTCCAAGGGGGAAAATGTTGTGATTTGCAAAGTCATGAAAGGTGTGTCGACTTTTACATGCTTACTGTCTCCTTAAAAAAGAAATTCTGTCCTTTCACCTGTCTGTTTGCACGTGTTTCTCTTTCTCCTCTTTGCTTTTTCTTGTCCATGCACCTGGTGCTGTGCAGGAGATTCAGGAAGAACACAATGGCTACCCTTCTGAAGCTGAAGCTGATCAGGTGGCAAGTTCTACATGTTCATCTGTTTGTAGCTACAGATCATGTATTTAGAAGCCATTTCATTCTAGACTTCTAGATAATCAAAGCTTTCCAGATGCTTTTACCACAATAGTAGTGCCCTCCTGTCCAAATTTGCTAGATTCCATATGACATTATTTGCAAAAATTGGTTTATCCAACATTTTGTCAACTAGAAATTTGTTTGTCTGTGTTTCTCGGTTTGCCCATATAGGGTTATTGATGGGGTTAATGACCCTCCATCACGGTTGGATTCTGCAGTGCCTTTACATAGACATAGAGGGGACAGATACATATGCTAAGGGTGCTCCTTGAGGGTGCACACTTTGCTTTCTTCAAATATGCATGATCTGTGCCCAACACAGTACCTGGTACCATGTAGATAGTTGTGGAATTGGTACATATATTAATCAGAATACAAAATTATTCATAGAGTATTCTTGAGTGCTTACTCTGCTCAGTACCTCTAGACCCTCTCTGGAGTCTTTTAAAGCTGCAGTACTTTCCCCAATGCTTATGTGAAACCAAGAGAAGAGCAGCTCCAGGGATGTGTGGCATGCCCCAGGTGCTCAGCTACACCATTGTCCACCATCATCCAGCCCCACCCTCCTTTGGTGACCCCGGAAGCAACTTGAAGAGCCCAGTTTGAAAGCCACTGCTTTTGGCATGCAACCATTATATAAACGATCCACCTGGTGGCTTGGATTCAGGCTAAGGAGGAAAGTAGCAAAGAGGCCAGGGTTGTTGGGTGGGCTGGAGCCCTCAGGAACAAATTCAGGGAGCTGGCAGACTTCGGCTAGACCTTCAGGGTCACTGGAACAAAGTTGGGATGAGGTCATCAGAGGGAGTTCCCCAGTTGGGCAGCACTTTGAGCCACGGCACCAAGAGGAATGGGTGTGTTTATGAAATCAAATTTAGTTCCTAAGAATATTCCATCCTTTGATTGTGCTGAACATGGGTTGGATAAATCAAGGGTCAAATCATGTCCTGTGCAACCTCGTAGTTGCAGTAAAAGCTTAACGTAGCATAAGTGTGAGTCCCTTCTCCTAACAGCAGCTTCATAAAGGGAATCTACAATACTCACCAAAGCAAACAAAAACCTCCAAGCTTTTAAAACTCTTCTCCTCTTGAGTTTCTATGCTAAAGCTAAATGTGTTTCTTTTACAAAAGGAATCTCCTATGGGGAAATCTGAAGCAACTGGGTCACATCTTTGTTTTATTCCAATAGTTGTTCTTTTTTGCCATTTAAAAAGCATGTCCCAGATTTATCATTAGTGAGAGATTTGCCTTACTATGTCTCACTGACATATAAATACACAGAAGTTTCAAGCCAAACTTGACATGACTATGGGAAGAGAAGAGAAATGCTTGATTTTCAACTTCTATCTTGAGAGCATTGTGTATTCTTAAAATGGTCCTAATCACCTCTGTCTCCTATATGCAACATTTTATTAGTCCTGGATTGAGGACTTTAAAATGTTTGATGTGGCTTGCTCTAGAGAGAGTCATACCTTTCCTAAGCTCCTCTAGATTCAGTTGATTAAAGCAGCTTGCTTTAGTAATTATATTTCAAAATAATCTACTTCCATTTAATTTTAACATATAAGAAACTTAAGTCTGTATAATACATGATAATATTTAGCCATTAAAATATTTCGCTTTAACAATATAACATTTGAAGTAATTTAAAACTCTGATATTGATTAAAGTAGCTTTCTCACTTCGTGAGATGCTATACAATTAGTCACTAGTTCAGGCAATAAAGCAGACTTTAAAATTAAGGCTTCTAAGATTGGAGATCTTTTAGTGTTTCTAAAACCAGACATTTATAAGTATATATGTTAGTTTATGCTTTATTGCATAAAATATATTTCCAAAACAGATGTGAGTATAAAAATGAATCCATTAATCATTCTCCACACCCACCCTTAATGTGTTAACTTCCAAAAACTTTTGGCTGAAAATGTCTTTAAAAACCAGTCTGGACTAAACATTTGAATTGAATTAACTGTTTGGAGGTAATGATGATTCCTAATCTATATTATTTTAACCATGTACCTTTCAATAAGGAGGAGGATGGACCGTGTCATTTTGTGCTCTCCCAGTAGAATTAACATACCCCTGACCAACATTTAACATTGAATTTGCTATTTATAGTTTGGCTTTCTTCCTTTTATAAAATTTGATGAAACTGCTATGTGTAGTATTTCTAAATTGAACTTTAAGTCCTTTAATAAAACATAGTGAAATATTCTTGCAACTATGAAAATAATTACTATTTTGAATTTTCAATAATTTAGAATTATAAAAGACATCCATTTAAAAATATTTTGCTTTACAAAATTATGCTGAAAACTTAGTATTATTTGACCTGTTTCCCACTGAACACTAGTGGCCTCCGATGTTAACAGGTGGAAAAAGCAGTCCCGATCAAATAGGTATGAGAAATGCATTATACTCTAGCGCCCTCTTGCTGATTTGGTGTGCATTAACACACTAAAGATGTCTCACTAAAAAAAGCAGCTGAGGCCGGGCGCGGTGGCTCACGCCTGTAATCCCAGCATTTTGGGAGGCTGAGGCGGGTGGATCACGAGGTCAAGAGATCGAGACCATCCTGGCCAACATGGTGAAACCCCGTCTCTACTAAAAATACAAAAATTAGCCGGGCCTGGTGGCGTGCGCCTGTAGTCCCAGCTACTTGGAAGGCTGAGGCAGGAGAATTGCTTGAACCCAGGAGGCAGAGGTTGCAGTGAACCGAGATTGTGCCACTGTACTCTAGCCTGGTGACAGAGCGAGATTCCATCTCAAAAAAAAAAAAAAAAAAAAAAAAAAAAAAAAACCAGCTGAACTTGTTTTGCTTAACCCAGCATTTCCCAAACTTTTATTTATTTATTTATTTATTTTTAAGACTATTCACATCTCTTGGGAAAGTAATGCTCTGTGAAATACAGCTTTGGAATTGCTGGGGGTTTTGATCACCTTATTCTTATTCATGACACATTATGTCAGAGATGCCGAGGAGAAAGTGACTGGTTTCCTTGGCAGCATTTCACAGGGTGGCGGTACCTCGGAGTAGGCCCCGAGTTCAGGCTTTGGTCCCTAACTTTGTAGTTCAAGAACACCATTTTCTCACCTCCTCTCAATTATCTGGCACTATCCAACCAAGCTCACAAGGGACTGGCTACTGGGCTGCAGTGCCAATCTGCTAATTTTAAAACGTGGGCATGTATTCTTCTGGCCATCTAAGGTATCCTTTTCCTAGCATCATTGTAGCCAGGAAACCTAGTAAATCATTAGCAATTTTCTTGGTGAGTGTGAAATTACTGCAAAGTGAATTGTCTTGGGACGTGCCTGATGAAAACACCCTGCTCCGCAGTAGGGATTGAATACTGTTGCCTGCCTGCCAGATGAGAGCACACTCTCTCATGGCCTGGATTGGGTGAACACTGAACTTCACTCTTCATGTCCCTGGTCATACACTTTGTGCATACATGTCCATGTGCACGAGCATGCACACAGACACACACACAGACAGCTGGGCTGCAGTACCAAAGCCTAGGGCTTTCCTTAGTTGTGTACTGTACTGAGACTATTCTCTGGTTATTTTAATTAGACTTCTGGCCTTCCCAAACTGTCTCATAGGCTGGGTTATTTCTACAGTTAGCTAAGCACCTATATCTCATGTTGGTTTTATTTGTATTAGTTTCATGCTCAAAAGGTAACCTTTTTCTGACCTTATTTGCAAATTCTAGAGACACCTTTTAATAGTTATCTGTGTAGTGATTACAGTATCTTTCTGTCATGTCAAGCCATTTCTGTATTAATGCTTCCTAACTGTGAAATTTAAATATGTTGTAACAATTTGCTAGAATATGCAGCATGATGTCTTGTGATGCTGAGCTTTGAAATTGTCTTTTGAGGGATTGGGTGCTTATTTTGCACGCTTCTGTAGCCTTATAGTGACATCACAGAACATCAAAATTTTTCACAAGTATACAGAAAGTGAGATTTACTCCTGTTTGGTGTTTTTTTGTTTGTTTGTTTTGTTTTTTGTTTTTGCCAGGCTCTAAGGGATGGAAATAAGCTGGCACAGATGGAAGAGGCTCCACTTTTTCCAGGAGAATCAATTAAAGCCATTGGTAAGTTTTGTGTGTACACTTTGCTTGTTGAGAGCCATAAAATGAAATGGCACTTAATTTGCGAGTGGAGGTGATGTGTGTGCTGGAGATCAGCCAGACCAACTTAATTAGGGGACAAATGGACTAGATCTATTCATCCTCATTAGTGTCATCATGACCTAAGAGATAGAAGACTGTAGAGGATCCCTTTAAGTTCCAATTGAGTATTTGATGGCGTTCCCAACAGAAGAGGAGCCTGACTTTTCCTGGTGAACTGCAAGCTGATTAGACACTCAATGTAATGTCAGTTCACTGCTTTGTTGGAATCCTTCAGTATAAGGAAAATTTATCAATAGGAGATCTATATCATGTTTTAATAACAGTTTTGAGAACTTAGCAAAGAAATTTTAGTGGTTTATCAGATCCCAAAAAGTACAATTTTGGTGCATGGCAAGGGCTTGTATTGCCATCCTGGCTTTTAAAGGTGATGGCATGAGGGCTTCCATATCCCTCCATGGTGTATTGCTAGGCCTTTCAGGGAGTAGTTGATTGTGCCATGGGTGGATGGGAGGGGAAGCTGGATGCGACCCATTCATCTCATCACTTGGTTGGGTTGGACAGTCTGGTTTTCTAGACTGTTTCCTTCTTCCATCATGGCTTTCTCCCAAAGAGGCACACTCAGTCTCAGAGTATAGTCATCTTGTGCCAAGAATATTTGAGTAGCGGGGCTCTCCCACCAGATCCTCCAATCAATTACTGCTGCTGTATATCCTAGTCTGTGTCTGTGGACCATGCTTATCTTCTCCTTGGTTTTGAAATTCTTTATTTCCTTGAGTTCTAGGACTTCATTCTATCCTGGCAGTCCTCTTACCTCTTTGTTCCTTCTCTGGGCGTTCTTCTAGCTCTGCCCTCATACTGCTTTCTTAATGATCTGTTTAAAATGCAGAGGTAATTATGTCATGCCCCTGCTTCTTCTTCAGACAGTAAACAACACAGATTTAAAATGTAAAATGTGAAGAGGTTGTTTTTCACTTTAGTTTTATAATTTGTCAGTGAATCAAAGTCAGCTCAGAAAAGATTAGAGCTCATGTAGGTGATTGACAACTTTGCACATCAGATACATATTTTGAATGAGCAGGGAACGTTATAAAAGCTTGGATTGCAAGCTCACAGTTGTTACAGTAAGAAGAGAAGGCTTCAGTGGATTTAGCTGCGGTCCTATTGCTCTTTCTCTCCCGTTTTCTTTTCCTTTCACTCTGGAAGCAGAGCTCAGAGAGAGAAACTCCTGCCTGGCCCCACTCCAGTACAAATTATTGGAAATATCTTAGAGTTAGATCTTAAGACATCCTTAAGTGATGTAAGGATGCTTCATGCTCCTCCAGTGGCTTGCAAAGGGTAAGTAAATTGACCCTCTACTTTTTAATAAAATATATTCCTGGAGGCAAAGTATTAAAATAGGTCATTGTGAAGTAAAAGTACTCCATCTAGAGTATTATTTCAGTTTGTCATTGTCAGAACGTGAAGAGTTTTGACACAGTGTACACCTGAAAAACCATCATCACAGTCAAGGTAACAAACATATCCATCACCTCCCAGAAGTTTTCGTTTCCTTATGCCCCTTTATAATCCCTACTTCCTCTGCCTTCTCCCCCATCCCCAAGGATGATGGCCTCCAGCTCCATCCATGTTCCTGCAAAGGATATATGATCTCATTCTTTTTTATGGCTGCAAGTATTCCGTAGTGTATATGTACCACATTTTATTTATCCAATCTGGCATTGATGGACATTTAGGTTGATTCCATGACTTTGCTATTGTGAATAGTGTTGCAGCAGACATACATGTGAGTGTGTCTTTATGGCAGAAGAATTTATATTCCTTTGGGCATATACCTAGTAATGGGATTGCTGGGTCAAATGGTAGTTCTATTTTTTACTCCTTGAGGAATCGCCAACATCTGCCCTTCCACAACGGTGAAACACTAATTACACTCCTTTAACAACAGTGTATAAGCATTCCCTTTTCTCCTGCAACCTTATCATCTGTTTTTTAACTTTTTAATATAATAATAGCCATTCCGTGACTGGTGGGGAGATGGTATCTCACTGTGGTTTTGATTTTCATTTCCTGGTAAATGTTTCAGTGATACCTGAGCTTTTTTTTCCATATGACTCATTGTCTGCATGGTGTGTCCCTTCTTTTGAAAAACTAATCCTATTCTTGTCCTTTGCCCCACTTTTTTTTTTTTTTTTTGAGAACGGAGTCCTCGCTCGTCAACCCAGGCTGGAGTGCAGTGGCGTGATCTTCGCTCACTGCAAGCCTCCGCCTCCCGGGTTCCACCCATTCTCCCTGCCTCAGCCTCGTGAGTAGCTGGGACTATAGGCGCCCACACCACACCCAGGCTAATTTTTTGTATTTTTATTAGGAGACGGGGTTTCACACCCGTGTTTAGCCAGGGATGGTTCCCTGATCTCCTGACCTCGTGATCCGCCCGCCTCGGCCTCCCAAAGTGCTGGGATTACAGGCGTGAGCCACCTCGCCCGGCCACTTTGCCCACTTTTTAATGGGGTTGTTCGTTTTTTTTTCTTGTAAATTTGTTAAATTCCTTGTAGATGCTGGATATTAGACCTTTGTCAGATGCATAGTTTGCAAATATTTTCTGTTCTGTAGGCTGTCTGTTTACTTTGTTGATAGTTTCTTTTGCTGTGCAAAAGCTCTTTAGTTTCATTAGATTCCATTTGTCAATTTTTGCTTTTATTGTGATTGCTTTTGGCATCTTTGTCATGAAATCTTTGCCAGTTCCTGTGTCCAGAATGGTACTGCCTAGGTTGTCTTCCAGGGTTTTTATAGATTTGGGTTTTACATTTAAGTCTCTAATCCATCTTGAATTGATTTTTGTATATGGTGTAAGGAAGGGATCCAGTTTCAGTTACCTGCATATAGCTAGCTAATTATCCCAGCACCATTTGTTGAAAAAGGAATTCTTTCCCTATTGCTTGCTTTTGTTGAAGATCAGAGGGTTGTAGGTATGCACCCTTATTTCTGGGCTCTCTATTCTGTTCCACTTGTCTATGTGTGTCAGTTTTTGTACCAGTAGCATGCTGTTTTGGTTACCGTAGGCCTGTAGTATAGTTTGAAGTCTGGTAACATGATGCCTCCAGCTTTGTTCTTTTTGCTTAGGATTGCCTTGGCTATTCTTTTTGGTTCTATATGAATTTTTAAATAGTTTTTTCTAGTTCTGAGAAGAATGTCATTGGTAGTTTGATAGGAATAGCATTGAATCTATAAATTGCTTTGGGCAGTATGGCCATTTTCACGATATTGATTGTTCCTATCCAGGAGCATGGAATGTGTTTCCATTTGTTTATGTCATCTCTAATTTCTTCAAGCAGTATTTTGTAATTCTCATTGTACAGATCTTTCACTTCCCTGGGTAGCCATATTCCTAGATATTTTATTATTTTTGTGGCTATTGTGAATGGGGTTGCATTCCTGATTTGGCTCTTGGCCTGGCTGTTGGTGTATAGGAAAGCTAGTGATTTTTGTATGCTGATTTTGTATCCTGAAACTTTATCAAAGTTGTTTATCAGCTGACGGAGCTTTTGGGTTGAGACTATGGGGTTTTTACTTTTTAGAATTCTATTTTATGTCTTATGCTTGCATATTGGCTATAATTGTTTGTTTTGTTATGTAACTAGTTATTTTACATCTTTATGTCTACCTTCAAATGATTGTATGCTGCTTCATGTACAGGATAAGAACCTTACAGTAGTATACTTCCATTTGTCCCCTCCCACCCTTTGTGCTGTTGTTGTCATCTGTTTTACTTTTACATATGTTATAAACCCCACAATATATAGTTTTTGTTTTTGTTTAAACAGTCAGTTATCTTTTAAGGATAATGATAATAATGCCTCAGTATCCTACAGAAGCACTTGCCAATCCGCTCCCTGCCAACTTCTCTGGCATCGTGTTCCACTGTCCTCACTGCACCCATTGATCCAGGCATACTAACCTCTAACAACTTATCACTGTGCCCTTCCTCCTTTCCTTCTCTTACTCCCCCTACCCACTTTCCTACTGAGTTAAATTGATCCTTTTCTGAACTTTCACTGTAGTACTTTATGTCCACATTTTTATTTTAGCTTTTGTCAGCCTCTAGTACAGGGATCCCCAACCCATGGGCTGTGGATCAGCACTAGTCCACAGCCTGTTAGGAACAGGGCTGCACAGCAGGAGGTGAGCAGCGGGCTATTGAGCATTACCGCCAGAACTCCATCTCCTGTCAGATCAGTGGTTAGATTCTCATAGGAACACGAACCCTATTGTGAATTGCGCATGTGAGGAATCTAGGTTGTATGCTCCTTATGAGGGTCTAATGCCTGATAATCTGAGGTGAACCAGTTTCATCCTGAAACCATCCCCCTACCTCCGCCCTGGTCCATGGAACAATTGTTTTCCATGAACCGGTCCCTGCTGCCGAAAAGGTTGGGGACCTCTGCTCTAGTATAATGGCGATTTTTCTGTGTGGTATCTCTCACAGGTCATGGGCTGCTCATGGACAGGAACTGTTTCCAATTATACCCAGAATCCCAGCAATAGAAGGCTCTCAGTACGTAAGGAGTTACAGAAAAGTTAAATGGAAGTAGTTTGAGAATTTGGTTCAGTGACATTAAAGCCTTTTGTTGTCTCACTTGGACTCATATATAGCTATGTATATTCTTGTCATTCCAGTGGAATGGCACTTTGGGAAAACATGAAGATGTGGTGTCTTTGTGATAGATGTTAGCTTCTTAACACTAATAGGGATTAAATATGTCATGCACTTAATAGATATTAACAAAAAGTTAAAACTGATAAGGAAGCCGACAAGGAATTTGAAACAAGTTTTTTTTCCACTTCATTGATGTGGTTCTAGGTTTTGTCTATGGCAGTAGTTGCTACTTTGGCCCTTTTCTTTCAGTGAAAGATGTCATGTATATCTGTCCAGTTATGGGAGCAGTGAGTGGAACCCTGACAGTGACGGACTTTAAGCTGTACTTCAAAAATGTCGAGAGGGTGAGTTTTTTAAAGTGTGTTTTATTTTAAAAGAAACACTTTGGAGCACTAAAAGAAGAATGTAAAAAGACCCCTGAAATCCCATTACCCTGAGATAACCACAGGTTGAGTTTTGAGATGTACATCTTTGCAAACAGATGTTTGTATCTTGAAAACAAAGGCTGTTAAAGTACTGCTTAAACCTGGGGGGGAAATTCCATTGTTGTCTCAATATATATTTCATAAGGAATGCTATCAATCAGACTTCAGTTTAGCTGGGACAAAGAGGAAATGCGAAGTAAACAAACATTTTGTAACCCAGCAAAGACTTAAAATATGAAAACTGTTGACTGACACTAATAGACATTGATCTTAATTTTTAAACCTAGGACCCACATTTTATCCTTGATGTTCCCCTTGGAGTGATCAGCAGAGTTGAGAAGATTGGAGCACAGAGCCATGGAGACAATTCCTGTGGTATAGAGATAGTGTGCAAGGTATAATAGAAACACAAGCGAAAACTAAAAGATCTGAACTTTTTCTCCCTCAGTCTCTTCATGGTCTTTGGACAGTAGAATAATTGTACTGCTAGTAACTCAAATGTTTTTGGGATAGCAACCTCTTCAAATCTCATATCGAATTTAAACTATTATGTAGCCCTTTGAAATGAACCTTTTCTATTGAAGTACAGTTGTTCCTTGGTATCAGTGGGCGATTGATTCCAGGACCTCCGCCTCAGATACTAAAATCCATGGATATCCAAGTCCTTTATATAAAATGATGTAGTATTTGCATATAACCTAAGAACATTCTCCCGTATACTATAAATCATCTCTATATTGCTTATAATAACTAATACAGTGTAAACACTATGTAAATAGTTGTTATACTGTATTGTTTAGGGAATAGTGACAAGAAAAAATGTCTCTGCATGTTCAGCACAAATGCAACCATCCTTTTAAAAAAATATTTTCTATCTGCAGGTGTTCGAATCCCCAAATGTGGAACCCATGGATAGTAAGGGCCGACTGTATTTCTAATTAATGTGGACCTGTAACCTAAGTGATTATTTGTCACATCTCAGAGAAATCAAGTGAAAAGCAGAGATCAATACATTTTCCCAGTTTGTTGTTTTAAGACTACGTTCAGAACAGTGTGGATGGTCAGAGACTTCCTAAAGGGACAGCAGTGGTCCATAAATTTTGTGATTAAAAATGAGATTAAGTTTCTTGGCTATGCTGGAATTTTTATGTTGAGCTGGGCTTGTTTGTTTATTTTGTACCCTTCTAATAATTTAAGTAGAAATGTGTGTGATAACTTTAATCATGAAGTCATGTAGGACCCACTCTTAACTGATGTATTTTATTCCCAGTGACTTTACTTTGATAATGTGGTTTACCAAAAACCCTACCTGAAGTACCAGGAAAGAGATCCTGCCTGCAGGATCGTCAGGGCCCCTTCCAAATTTTGGGTTAGGATTCCTTACAATCTATTTGTTTTGATTCAGTCTCTGAGGATAGCTCCCTCTGGTTGGTCCTAGACTGCGCTCAAAACCATTTTTTTTTTTCCCAAAGAACACTTTACTCTTCCAGATCATGAATCTGTTGGCTTACTAAACTCACTTTAGGCACTACCTGACAACTGTCCTCAGGCAGGGTTCCCCATATGGAACAGTGGCAAGCAGAGGGATGACTTGATTGGTTCTGCAATTTTGAAACATGTCGTCCCCTTTCTCATGACGCTTGAGTATCTTCCCATTATCCTTAGAGTAAAGGAAAAACTCTCCTTACAAGACTTCTCTGCCTGACCCCCTTTCCTCTGCAGCTTCGTCTCAAACTGCCCTCCTCTCATTCTGGCCATCCCAGTCACATGGGCTTTCCTTTGGTGGTTCATACTTGACACACACCGCGCCACCGCCCCGCCCCAGAATCTTTGCACGTGCTCTTTCCTTAGCTCGTAAGCAATCTTAAATAGCAATCTGAAATAGCAAGTCAGCTCAGTCAGCCACCAAGGTGTATGTGTGTAGCCATGTAGCTTAGAGGGAGAGCATTTCAGGAAATTACGTTGCTTAGGCAGGCGTCCTGGGGCTCTTTTACTAAGATATTTTTATGGCCAGGGTGAGCATTTGCTAACAACTACTTTAAATGTTCTCTAACCTAGAATTACTAAGGTCATGCTCCCAGTCTTCTCAGATCATGCCTAAGAGCCTTATAAGGTGTGGAGTTTATTTTTTAACAGGTGATACACAATTTAAAAGATACAAAAACTGTATATAGTAAAAAATCAGTCTCCTTCCACCCACCACCCTGCCTCCCCATTCCACTCATTTCAGGCACCCACTGTTACCGATTTCTAATGTAACCCT